CCAGCACTGGGCGCAACAACTCACAGAATATGCCTGATGCGATCTCCTCAAAAGAGGAGCTTTTTACCTTCCAAGTCCCTCCCTCTGGCAATCATGCACAGGACCAGCCAGCAGTTTTGGAACCTTGAATATCTGGGAGAGTGAGAAAACGGTGGATTCTGCGATTGGACCTGGGACCTCCTGCACCCTAACCCCCTTACTAAGGTTTCAAATCAATACACATTCACATATTTTCAATTTAAAAAACACTACATTTATCATTTATCAAACTTTGCACCACTGGTTAGCAGCAAGAGCCACAAGACGGACCCAAACCTATTGTGACTGTCAGTTATAGTTCTCACGATGTGCATGAGGAGAGCAAGCCATCGCCAATGCAGACCTGGGCGCTGGCTTGCGCTGTTGACAAATACTCCTGAGCAAGAATAAAATGATCACACATCTAGGACCCAGGTCTTCAGCATGTGCGTGAGGGAGACAGAGTGCACAAGAGAGAGAGAGCAAGAGTGAGATTGAGAGACAGCCAAAAAGGAGAGACGTGCTGTAAGCGTAAAAATGTTGTCTAGTGTCACAAGTACAATACTGTGGGTGATAAAGTCTAGGGATTTTATTTGCAAAAACAAGCGTACCTGTCTGTTATGAACCACCCTCTGGAAACCTCTGGAACCTTCTAGAACATTCCCTCATGGAACTTTGTGGAACCTTCTGGAACCTTCTTTGCTTTCCTGACTTGTCTTGTTGTCATTGGTATCATTGGTATCATTGTATTACTAATTCCTCTTTCTGGAACTTTCTTTGAGACTTGACAAGGAAGACTCTCAAAAGGTATAAAAGGGGGATGGGGGACCTGTCCCATCCCTCAAGTGAATTATTGTTTCCAATACAATCATCACTCCTCTCAGTTCCTTGTCTGCCTTGCCCTGTCCTGCCATGTTCCTGACAAGCACCAACCTCTTCAATTTGTGCCTGCTTGTGCTTTGTGGTTGTTTGGCAGCTGTTAATAGCCCCTGCCTACGCAATCTTCCTGTTCCAGCACTGGCACGTTGTGGAACATGTTTGAAGCTCATGCACCTACTGTACCAGCACAGTGCTTAAGGTAGGCTGAACTCACCCCAATGCATCTGGAGGTGGTTGCGCTTGGCACCTTCCCCACCAGATGAGAATCTGGGCAACTCATTGGACTGACTGCTGTCAAAAAACCACTTTGAACCGTGACAGGAGGTGATACTAGCCACTATACTAACTGGGAATGCTGCTTTGTGGGCACAAATACTTAGCATCAGGTCTCTAGAGTTCCTAACAGTTGAAGATACTGATACCAATGGCCCACTTTAAGGCATGTTGAAACCCACTTCTTGGGTGGTTTGACTTTTCATTTGCAGTCTTTTTACATGACAATTCCTAGCTGTTGAGGGGGTTTTTCCACCTGACTAAAACTTTGTTGTCCTGCCACTTGTGATTCCTCGCCACTTGTGATTCCTCGCCCGTGCAACATTTGGAGGCTCTTGCAGGTGTGTGTGTGTGTGTGTGTGTGTGTGTGTGTGTGTGTGTGTGTGTGTGTGTGTGTGTGTGTGTGTGTGTGTGTGTGTGTGTGTGTGTGTGTGTGTGTGTGTGTGTGTGTGTGTGTGTGTGTTTGTGTGGAAGACAGCATGCAAATTCCTCAGCACAAACTGACTTCTTATGGAAACTGTGTCCTGCTGTGCCTGTTCCAGGAAATTTGCCCAGCAATTCTGTATGAAGTTTGAAACTGTGCATCAGCCACACTCCTTGCACTTTCATTGAAAAGGCAGTTTTCCATAGCAATTTGTGTGCAGAACATTTTCAAGGCATTTCTCATCTTCCCCTCTCCCCCTGCCCCCCATTTTGCCCAGAGGTGCAGTTCTGGCACTCGGCCTCTTTATCTGCGTAATGGTTGTTAGGCAGAACTGGCTGGTTAGCAGCAAGATGCACAAGATAGACCCAAACCTATTGTGACTGTCAGTTATTGTTCTCATGATGCCCATGGGAGAGCGAGCCACCACCAATGCAGACCTGGGCGCTGGCTTGCGCTGATGACAAATACTCCGACTATTAAGTGGAACGGAAACCCGGTGTCATCAGTTTTCCTCCTACTCTGCTCAAGCAGATAATATAGGAGAGGTTTTTACCCTGTGCCAGTCACGCTTGCCTAGCAACTATTACAGCGTGTATATCATCATCATGTATCATTAATTCACAACAGGGTTTTTTTTCTCTTTCTCTCCAAGTTGGGGAGAAGGACCACCCACAAACACACATCTCCACTTCATTCACTCCTTCCACTCACTCACTCAGAGTAGACTGTTTACAAATAAGACGCACCCAGCTCCTGCCAAGTGAGACTAGATGGAATGTCACAGGTTTCACAGCAAGTTTTTGTTGTTAGTACCAGGGGATCCCTGCACCGCTATTGGGGGTATATATCAGTGGTAGATAGCTCGCTTCGCATGCGAGATGCCCAGGGTTCGATCCCCTGTGCCTCCACAGGCTTGTTGGAATGCATTGGAGTTATTGGTGTCACTGCCACTCTGGCTGACCAATCTGACAAGAGGAGCTGTTGGGCGATGCGCTCACAAAGCCTCTCTTCCAAACAGTCTCCCTGACTGGAAGATGCACATCCAAGAAAACTGCTAAGAATTTCAAAAAGGAGTGACAAGGGCCACTTGGCTGCAGCCACACCAAAATAACCAGCAAGCACACAAACAAAACCGCACTTGCACACCAAGAACAGCAGCAGATACAGTGCAGGACATCGAAATCAAGCAAATTTGGATTTTCTCGTTTGCCCATCAAATCTTTTTTCCTGCTAAGGCAACCCCCCCCAACTTCCCAAGCCCATTCGCTTCTCCTGCATCTCAGTATGAGATTCTTGAGTATCTCACACAAGGTGTCAGTCATAGTTTAGGTTCTTCAGCTCTTACTCTACGCTGGCAAAAGGTGTGTTGTTTGGGATGGGATGGATTCTGAGACTGCAAGACTATTAGCTTGAAATAGGGCAGATGGCCGAGCGGTCCAAGGCGCTACGTTCAGGTCGTAGTCTCGAGAGGGGCGTGGGTTCGAATCCCACTCTGCTCACCACAGTGTCACAGCTCTGACACCTCTGAGCTGAAGAGTGTCTGTCAGTTGCAGGTTTCAGGTTGCAGATCCTGACTCTTAGCAACATTACTGTGCAGCAGAGGGGTGACAACGGTACATACATACAAACGACAAAATCCAATGATGTTGGACACTCATAGACAAGCAAAGCAGATGTATGACAGCAAACTGCCCCGACAACATTGAACTGGACTTTTGATCAATTTGAAAGATACTTTATGTCAAATTGAAAAGGATTTTTTTTTTTTTTTTTGCTTTTTTCTATGCGTTGATGGGGGCTTGCCGCAAATTTAATCCCCTGTTGCCAATCTCTGAGGGCAAAGTCCAAATTTAGGTTTTGTTCAAGTTGAGATCAAGTTCATTTCAAGTTCATGTCATTTCTCTCTAATAATGAAAAATGCAAAATGCTCTCAGCTGATTGGTGTTGTTGTTCTGTGTGTAGTTAATCCAGAGATTGTGTGTTACAGTCTGGTGGAAGTTGGTGCACCTGAGGCAAATCTGTGAAGGACATTGAAAATGTAATGCACAACTATATAAATCATTGATAATTGGGACTAGCGAGGGTGGGGGTGGAGTGTGTGTCTGTGACAGTGGGGGGTGGCGATGGTGACAGAGGAGACGGATGGAATCAAAGGCAAATTTTTATCGATTATCATGTATGCAGGGGCATATTCCAACAGGGACTATGCTTGGGTTTGTGGTCCAGTGGTATGATTCCAGAGGAGACAGATGGAATCAAAGACAAATTTTCTTCTTCTTTCTTATTGATTATGACGTGTGTGGTGCATATTCCAACAAAGATCATGAGTGGGTTTGTGGTCTAGTGGTATGATTCCTCCTTCGGGTGGAGGAGGTCCTGGGTTCAATCCCCAGCAAGCCCCGTTGCTTCTTCTTGAGGTGCAGGAGGAAAGGGGAGGAACCCAGTCAGGCCAAGGAGGAGCCTATTTCACCCAGTTAATAAGAAGAGTGCCTCTGCTGCAAGATTACTGCAATGGAACAAAGCGCAGAGCAGCAAGCCACAGTTATTACCTTGCCACTGGATGGTTCTTCCTTCACGCTTGCTTGTTTTCACTCAAGTGAGTGGGATGGTGGTTTCAGGGAAGTTGTTACAGGGGACTTGTGGGTTGCGTTTGTCTGAGCTTATTCCAACACAGTTACATGGTCAAAGCTAATAAATGTGCCAAATCAAGCCTTTGTTCTGGTGCTTAGGGCATGACTGCACTTGTACTGGGTCTCAGGACTTTTGCTAATGCGGAAAGACAGACAAACTGATTGTCCTTGAAGGCAGGCTCACATTCAGACCAGAACTAACCTGTTGTAGAAGTCAGAATGCCACTGTCACTTTGATCTGAGGAATTGAGCTAGCTTAAAATGCAAACTGTAAGAAGAGTCACACCCCCCCCCGACATACATCCATGCGTTCCTTGGAGTGCTCTGTACAGGGATCGAAACCTGTGACTTTAGCGTCCCTCAAGCCCACAAGAGGGCTTATTAGCACTACACTCTAACCAACTGAGTTAACAGAGCCTCTGCCTGACACAAGCTCGCTGCCTTAATCAGACAGAAGGAAAAAAGTCAGAGGTTGGCTTCACCAATTTGCCTTTTTCCCTTAATTAGTAATTTTGTACATGCTAGATAAGGAAAACTCTGTCAACCGGTGTGCAGTTGGAATATGGTCAGGATTCAGTTTTGAAAATTCTCATTCTGTGAGGAGGATCTGTATGGTGAGTCCTTTGTGCAGTGAACACAAGGAGAGAGGGTTGATCCTGCTTGGTTGACCATTTAAACTTCTTAGTTTGCAGTGACAGTTCCATTACTGTTAAGCCGCCTCCACTGCAGCGGTTAGGTTAAACTACAACAGAGGATGGCTGAGATAATGGGAGGATTGAGCAGAGTGGGATTCGAACCCACGCCTCCGGAGAGACCAGAGCCCTTAATCTGGCGCCTTAGACCAACTCGGCCATCTGCCCCCCAACAAGGCTTTAATATGTTGCTTCCTGTGTAAAATGTTGCAGGGCTGGGAGATGGGTTGGGGTGGTAACTACTGCAAAGACCTGCCTCCAGAACAAACAGAGGCTATGCTTTCCACATGTACACATTGACCTTCTGCCTGCTCCATATGGTGGATGCACACACCACACACAGGCAAGGCCTTTTATTTTTATTTTTTATTTTTTATTTTTAAATATTGCTGGCCGTCAGAGAGGTTTTGCAAAATTTCCTGTTGCATCACCAAACTGAGCATTACCACCAACAATGGCTGTCATCTGTATCTGTAAAGTTGTTTTGGGCGCTACCGTAATTTTCTTTTTTTTTTCCTTTCCAGCACAGACAAATTTTTTCTTTTCCTATTTATCTGCCATTCTGGTGCTCTTCTTGGATGGCAGCCCCAAGCCCTTACAAAAATAGTTTTATATGCACAAGCTGTTTGACTGATTGTTTCTCCAGCATTAAGGCTATTGAGTTAGGGCAATTTTTGGAAAGATATTGTGGAGTGTTGATAATACAGCTCTAGCCCAAAAACTTTGGTTTATTAAGTTGTTAGCACGTTTCCTCAAAGCTCTTTTGGTGTGCAAATAGCCTTCAACTAATCTGAAAACAGAGCGAGGTATTACAAAAACAAGAAAGAAAAAGAGCTGGAAGAAAGTGAAATCTGCTCAAGAGTCAAAACAACAAAAAATCAGAAACAACATGCACTTCATTTTGTGGTGAAAGCAAGATGACACTACTGCTGCGAGAGGTATCCAAGTTGCACAAAAATAAACAGTGGAATAAACGGTGGGAAAGCTGCGGTCCTACTGGGTGAAGCAATCAAATCCAGCAGTAGCCTGAAAACTTTGGGTGACCAAGTGAAAATGAAAGGAAAATCATGACTATAGACTGACAGCCAAATACCCCACATGCAAGCTTCTTTTTCTGTTTCAGCAGGTCTGCTGTCTCTTGTCCAGTCCACCAAGAGTTGATTTTTACTTGTTTTTCAGGTGGTAGCCCAGAGCTTTCAAGCTGGCACTGTAAAGCATTTCAAAGAGGGATCAGGAGGTCCTAAAGCGCTACCGGGTGGACTTGAACCACCAACCTTGCGGTTTGCTGTACATGTCTAACAGCCGCACGCGCTAACCAGTTGCGCCACGGCAGCCTGTGCTCACAGTATCGTGCTTGTGACAGTAGACAACATTTTTACACTTTCACCACGTCTCTCCTTTTGTCTGTCTTCAATCTCACTCTCTCTCTCTCTCTTCTCATGCACTCTGTCCCCCTCACGCACACACACACTGGGGAACTTGGTCCTAGGTGTGTGATCATTTTATTCTTGCTCAGAGCCAGCAAGCAGTCAAAGTACAGCAAAATGCTAGCATGGCCTGTGGCTCTCACTTTCACACCTTTTGGGCGTCAACCTGCTGACATTGAAATGCTTCCCCCTGGGAGTACAGGCGCCAGGAGAGAGGAGGACCCAGCCGGGGTTGATCCGGCGACCTGTCGATCTGCAGTCGACCGCTCTACCACTGAGCTATAAGTCCCTGTGCTGTGCCACACAATACAAGAATTGTTGTCACCCTCTTACTGTTGGTTTTTTTATTTATTTTTTCTTTTATTTTTAGGGAAATGGAGCTTTGCTTGCTGGTGATGTTTGAGTTACCCCTCTTTGCAAGCTCCTCCTCAGGCCTCATGTGTTGTGTGTCAAATTCTCCATTGCTAGTGTGTTCCCACCAATTGGGCAGGATTAGGATGAGACAGCAGCGCTACACAGGACCAGTTCATTCAGTCCCACACACAGCAGTTGTGCTATTGCTCATTTTCAGTCTGCTTCCCCACCACCACAAATCAGAAATTACAGAGATAGAAAGAGAGAGACAAAGGGAAGAAGGGAGAGAGAAAGGAATGAAAGTGGGTGGCTCACCCATCCCTTCATCTCTCCCACTTTAGAGAGGTGATAAGGCTTAACACTGCTCAAATCAAATCCAAACAAGGTCCGATTTGGGTCTGATTCAAAAAATTGAATCAAATCAAATCAGATGGTTTTTTTGCTGAATAAGCTGTTTCTCTTTGATTCAAAATTCTTCTCTGGTAATTTCTTTTCCATTTGGCGCAATTTGGACCAATCAAATGTCAGGTGTATTGCAAATATTCGTGATTTGTGGTTAAAAACTTACAAGCGCTGTACTGAAAACCTCTTGTTTTCTCACCACCACAAATGCACTTTGTTTTCAATACAAAAGAAGAAAACATAAAAAATTATATTTTTTCTTTATCGATTTGCAAATGACATTGAGAAAAGGTGTGAAACGAGTGAGAAAAAAAAAAGTTTTTCTGCATCTAGCTGGAAAATAAATTGAGTCAAATTGCGGATCTAGCCAGAGTTAAACCCTACAGAGCAACTGCTCACCTATTCCTAAACCAAAACATTTGGGAACAGGAGAATGAATGAAAAAAGCCATAATCAGGGTCATGTGCAGCTTGCCCCTCCAGGAGCAAAGCCTTGCGCTTGGAGGGAGAATTCTCACCTCTGACTCCAAAGTACCTGAAACAGCAACCACCGTATTCTGCCCACAGTGCACCCCTGCATGCGTTGTCCTCTAATTTGATGCCAAGCATGCCAGCAACTTGTGGTGCAAGGCGATGAATTGCTAATGTTGTTGGACACTTGGCTTTCTGCTTGTGATGCAGCGATTCCCCTCTGGCAGAGCAGCAGAGGTTACCACTAACCCCTTCCCACGTTTGATGATAATGTTGCTGAGCAGGAAAGGCTAGGCTAGGGTGGTGGCAAAAGAGCAATGTTCTGTCATTGAGCATTGCAAGAAGTGAAGGTGACACATGAATTAATCAGTGAAATCCTCGAACCAATTGTTGAACCACCCCACTCCCAATTAAAGGAGGACGAAGGCTGTGCCCCCCAGGACTCGAAGCCGACTTCCATGAAAAACTGCCCAGCAACTGCAAATGCTTTGGCCCAAAAATGCCCTTTGTGATGTGGAGAATGCGGAGAAGTGCATTACCTGCACAATTTTGGGGCAGATTCTTCAAAAATTAGGTCTCTGCGACCCACAAATACAGATGTGTGTGGCCCTCTGCCACCGCAGACTTGCCATCCTGCAGAGTGGAGAGTGCAGATGTTGGCCAACCGCATTGGCGGTATGCAGCCTTACTGAGGACAATCTTGTTTTTGCACCCATTGTTCCTTGTCACCACCTGGGTTAAGGTGACAGACTCAAAATCTGTTACTCTCTGGGTGCACAGGTTTGAGTCCTGCCTTTTTCGACAAAGCAGGAGCAGGACTGAAGGGTACGTTAAGCTTGTTTGGCTGTTTGCACTTTTGGTTTAAATTGTTCCACCCTGAGTGTTTCTGCTGTGTTAACAGTCTACTCTGTGTGAGGGAGTAGAAGGAGTGAATGAAGTGGAGATGTGTGTTTGTGGGTGGTTCTTCTCCCCAACTTGGAGAGAAAGAGAAAAACTCTATTATGAACAATTGATACATGTTGATGATATGCAAACTCTAATAGTTGCTAGGCGAGCATGAGAGGCGCATGGTAAAAACTTCTCCTATATTGTCTGCTTGGGCAGAGGAGGAGGAAAACTGTTTACACTGGATTTCCCGTTCCACCATGTATTTGGAGTATTTGTAAACAGCACAAGCCAGCGCCCAGGTCTGCATTGGCGGTGACTCACACTCCCCAGCGATCATGTAGAACAATAAAAGACAGTCACAATAGGTTCTGGTCTGCCTTGTGCCTCTTTTTGCTAAGCAGTCAGTTCCGTCTTATATACTGAAAATGCAGCAGAGCCTGAGAGCGCAACATTTTCCTTCAAGGTGTATGCAATCCACTTAACTTCTGTGAAAGCAGTGTGGAAGTCTCACAGGACAACCATAGCAGTACAGCGAGTAGGTTTCGTGCCGCGAGGCGCAGGACCCGGAGTCACAACCGGGAGGGTTCCCAGGGGCCGCGGAAGCGCGTGTTCCCCTGGTAGCCTCCGAAGTGCAATTTTGAGGAGTCGGGAGGGGGTTTTTTTGATCCCTTGCAGACGACTTGAATGGAACCAGGTATTGTAAGCGGTAGAGTAGCCTTGTTGTTACGATCCGCTGAGATTAAGCCTGCTGTTCCCCAGATTTGTGAGTGTGTGAGTGTTTGGGTGTGTCCACGCATTCAGCACACGCACACACACGAGTCTCTCTCTCTCTCTCTCTCTCTCTCTCTCTGTGTGTCTCTCTCCAGCAGCACAGCAGCAGCGCGCGCCGTTACACCTGCGGAAAATTGGTGTGCAACCCCACCGCAAGACTGTGTGCAACAATAGGGCCTAGCTGGTGGCAAAGGGATGAGAAAGATCAGGTGGATGGATTGTGCAGCTTTGACCAAATGTGGTGGACAGCAGCTGCTGTATGGCTGCTTGCAAACAACCAACTGACAAGGATGCTCTCTGTGCTCAAAATACAATAAAGCAAAACCCCACCAAAAACAAGAAATACAAAAGTGAAGACATGCAAAACACATGGGGAAACACCCAATTTCTCAAAAGGGTGCAACAAAGAAAGCGCCTGGAATGCATTGTTGGGGCTTGGGAGGGACATAGTGTGATAAGTCCTGCACAAACAAATCGAGCCAGGCCACGCAAATTGAGAGTTTGGATGTGATTCAGAATTGGGATCAAATCTAATCAAGCCATTTTGATATGAGATGTGTTTGTTGTTTGTGTTCAGTCACACCACAGCAGCCAAGTCAATCACATTGGATGATATTCAATCTTAATTAATTGATACACTGCAGAAGCCATGCAAAATCAGCCATTGGGGTATGACTTGTGCTGCAGTCACTTTTGTCCTGCCTGAGCGCAGTTTCAAGTCTGCAACTCCAAGCAGTCCAATCTGATCTGACCCAATCCTAACTGAAAAAACAAAATCAAATGATTGTACTGAGATTGAGTAGTGCCATGTCTGTGATTGAACCTAAGACTGTCTTCCACATCCATTTCGATGTTC